TCAGCTTGCCTGTCAAGACTTCATCTCAGCTTGGTATTTCTAAATGGCTGAGCTGAGCTTTGTCAAAATTCATAATTACAATAGAAATTTTTTTGATAATTTTTTCAACCCCAATTTTTGATAATTGCTGGGAGACACCTAAGAGTAAAATAATGATTTTATAATTAGTAATTTCATCAAAAATTTTTATGATAGTAATATATTCTGAAAAATAAAAAAATTGAATAATTAAGCACATTTTTTGAAAAAATTCTTTTATGAATGTCGCTTTTTTATTCACATTTTCTTGCTAATGGAATAATTAATATGTAACTGTTAAGATTCCAAGTGTCAGCTTGGGAATTAGAATTCCATCACAACAGGATGCAAAATAAGTTTCCACAGTATGTTGAGGACAGCCGTATTTACAAGAGTTCTGGATCTGAATCATTCTGGTAACAGATTGGATGTCATTATGGAAAATAATGCAAAGCAATAATTGCTATTCTGATTATCCACACAAGCACCGAATAGCTTTATGATTAGTGTTCATATTAGTTTGTGGCATCTATGATTTATTTCTAGTTCGTTTTGCCAAGTGCTGATGTACAGTATTTCAGTAATGATAAAAATAGTGCATATTTTGCCACATTGCAATGTGTAACAGGAACACTTGTTGCATATATTTAGAATTGGGTTTGAATCTTTGAATGAATTTAAGTTGTATCAATAACAAAAGTGCTTGATGAACCTTTGGACTGATTGATTTTAAAATAATTATTATACAGTGCAATATTAAAATATCATATAATGTCATGAATTTTTATAATGCTTTATATGTCAATATATGATTTGAGTAATATAAGTCTCTCTTGTGTTCAGTGATAAAGAAATACAAAGTGTGATAAAGAGATAAAGTGGTAGTCTTTGTTCTTGTTTGGGAAATAATGGAAATATAATGTAATAAAATTTAAGAAAATAAATTTTTATGATTAAATAAAGTTTTTTAAAGGGTATTTACTTTTTTATGGTGATTTTATGACCTATATCAATGTATCTAACTGATTTCATAAAAACATATTTAGTACATAAAACAGAATTAAACACAAAAATGTAGTCTAAAAGATATAAAATTGTGTAATTAATGCCTCTAGGTATGAATGATAGATATTATTTCTAAACCTTCATATTAAAAATAAACAGTAAAAATATTTGAAAATATGAAAGAGGCATAAAGTGAAACATAAAAACAAGTGATTGAAGAGAAAAGCTCTTTAGTTTTAGAATTGCAAAGGCTATAAGTATTTGAAATTCTAAAACCTACTTATTAAGAAATATTTCTATTCTACATCTGTAGCTTTTTTCTTTTTGATTCATGCAAATGTCTTATTCTGGACATACATTTACACAACAAATTCCATTCAATTTAAGACTGAATTTTTAAAATTTTTCTGACAAACAGGAAAAGTTAAAATTTTCAACTTCAAAACTTATCATAGATTGTGTCAACTCATCAGAAAAGTGATTTCATGTATTGATATTATTTTTTTTTAACATTTTCCATAATCTGTTTTTTCATGTCAATGTTTAACTTTATCATTTCATATTTATAAATTTTTTTAGTATTAATATTGAAAGATATCAATAATATTTACATATATAAAACAATTTATGAAAGCATTTTAAGTGAAAGAAACTACTGTAATAATAATAACTATTTCTATTTGTTTATGATTCATGTATTTATGTTATGTTTCTATTTTAGAAAACACAAAAAATAACATAAGAAAATTAGAAATAGCAAATTATATGGAAAGAGAGAATTAATAAACAGTGAGACTAATATTTAAGATGTTTATGTATAGGCATTGATAAAATACTATTTATTGGAAATATGAATTTCATTTCAAGAGAAGTGCTTATAAGAGCAGAATAATGAGTAAAAGTATTTAGTTTTATTTTATAAAATGCAATGAAGACTATATTAACAAAAAATAAACATTTGGACATCAAAATATAAATATTGAGTATCATATACAGTAGAGCGTCGATTATCTGAATCAATTGGGAACTGGGGTCGTTCGGAATATCGATGTTTCGGATAACCGATTATGTACGAAAAAATATATTAATTTATCCCATCTTGACATTTTTCTCCGTTGCGTGTCGCTTCGCGTTGAATTTTCGTCGATGTTAAGCCTAACGAAGACTATTGTATCGTTAAAAATTATTTTTTTATTTTGTACAAACAAAATAAATATATTGAAAAATATAAAAACAATAAAAAATTATACTTCAGAAGTTAATTTAGTATCAAAAACGTAAAATATTTGAGTAGCCCAAGACATAGCCAAAGATTGCAGCACCACAGCACTGGCAAAAATTTAAATTTTGCTGACTGGAATTCTTTCGGATGATTGACTTTCGGATAATCGACGCTCTACTGTATAAGAAAAAAGTTAAATTTATGTTGATAAATTAATTTGGTTTGTACAAATATATTTCAAAATTTTAATGATTTCTTATATTTAAATCGATAAAATAGGTTTATATTTTTTATTTTCCTATTGTTTAGTTTTGATAATGGAATCCTGAATTAACAAATGCATATTTTTTGTAATATAAGAAATTCACATTATTTTCTTCTGATGTAATTTTTGACAAGATTATGTTTTGTTTATAAAATTGTGGTGCCGTCCTGGCTTTTACCAGCTTAGAGGTATGAAGGAGTACATGTCAGGAGTTGCAATTTGGCACAGAGTATTTGTTGGGAGCATTTAATTTAGTAAGTAAAAACCAGAGAGAATGCAAGGGAGTGCTGTAGTCAGTTGGCATCAGAGTTAAGTGACTAGAGGTGTATGTTAAGCAGAGCCAAGTCTCCGTGTATTCTGTTTTAATAACTTACAAGTTGTTGGATTAAAACTGAAAGTGTCTTTACTTATAAGAAACATGGCAAAACATTAACAGTATTAGGTGCCCAAATCATGCATGCAAAAAAAAATCCAGACTTGTAGGTACTGAGGGGACACAGAACAGAGTCAAAATAAAATACAGAATGGTGACACACTTTCTACAAACAGGCACTAGGGCAAGATTTGCACTTGCATTGCTTGTTGGGAAGTTGGAAAAGTGAACATTGTGAAATTGAACTTATTTTGTTTGTGCAAAATAAAAAATAATTTCAGACGATACAATAGCTATGATTATTTTTCAAAAATGGGGAATTTTTGTTAGGCATTGACAAAAATTTAACCCGGGGCAACATGCAATGGAGAGAAATTTCAACATTGGATAGGTTAATTTCACCGAAAATGCATCATGGGTGACCTCGTGGTCAAGGCCAGTGAAGTTTGAATGATCATGCTCAAAACCAGCAATACCAAAGAAGAATGGAGAATGAGAACAAGACATGCCATGAGCATCAAAGTGATCCCACTTAGTAGTGAGTCTGTGAGACATGGTCTTGTCCCAAATAAGGCATTGCCGTTTTACTTGTTTTTAATAGTCTTTACATCATAAAAATTTTAAATTATAAATTCCAAGTTGTGTTAATGTAAAAAAAATGCCACTCTGTTTATTCAGATTATTTTACTTAATGAGTAAATTATATGAAAATTTTCAATAAACAACTGCTGTTTGTGATAAAAATACAGAAATTTTTTTTAATACAACATAGTACCATAGGTTTCATCCAATGACCAAATTTAAACTGAAATTGTTGTGAACTGAAATTATCTTTAATAGATAAATGAAATACAGTATATTTATCAGTAATATTATTATTATTATATTATGTATATTGCATTAAGTACAGATATCTCAACTTATGACCCCTTGACAAACAATATTTTAAGTCATGATTGCTGTAGCAGTAATCATATCAATGAATGCAAAGTGCACAGGCTTGAAACAAAACAAATCAACTACATTGTATACATAATCTTAAATTCTCTATAGTACACATCATAATAGCTATAATAAATGACTATTAATTAATTAAATGTATAATGTTCATTGATTATTGTTTATAGATCAGATCGCTTTAGAATAAAAATGTTTCACAATATACTTTCATAGCAATCATGTGACTTCTATTTCACCATTTGGCATCATGTTTTTGTTTACATATACTGTACTAAATCTGACTTAAGATTAAGCTGTCAGAAGAGAGTCCCATCATGAGTTGAATATTTTATATACAGTAAAACTTCTCTTAACTCTAAGCTCCAAGGGGCAGAAAAAACTTTGAGCTACAGACAATTCAAGTTAGAGAACAATACAGTAAAAAAAATATTGATTCTGAATAGATTTTTACTTTTACCTCTATTGCATTATATAAGAAATCTTTGAAATTTTTTTCTTCAAACAGCTCATGTAATGCCTTTCAGCAAACTATTCAATTTAAATAATGGAATTGAACAGTTTTGCAGGTACAGTACATCTTGTTCAGATAAAGCAAGAGGACCTCTCACTTTGGACTGGAACATTGTCCAAAAATTGGTGTTGGAGAGTAGATACAATTGTCTGAAAATTTTATGAAAATCTGATAATTAGGATCACTTTGGATAGAAATAAGTATGAAATTTTGAGTCAGGGAAGTTGAAAGTAACATAAATCAGTGTCAGTGTCATGAATTTCAAATTGGAGAAAATTCAAGTTAAGAAATTCAAATTGGAGATATTAAATCACTATTCCATTCCATTGAGACCTACCCGAGTGCTTTGTTTTCTTTGAGTTACAGATGTTTCAGTTAGAGTTTTACTGTAATTGCTAGTTATTAATTGTTTTGAATTAGTTCTGTAAAATAGTAATCAGTAATTTATTTGAAACTGTTAAAATGGGGGATTTACAGAAGGTTGGTGTGACCAAAAGTACCAATAGTGAATTGAATAAGTCATAAAGATCTGTTTGCTTGAAATAATTTAGATTTTATGAATAATAATGTATTTCTGTTCCTTACATTTTTTTGTGCAAATTAGATTAAACTGTTTTGATACATTATTATTATTATTCTCTTTTAGGTAAAAGTCATCAAATTTTCTTTCATGTGGACCATAAATAATTTCAGTTTCTGTCGTGAGGAAATGGGTGAAGTTCTGAAAAGTTCTACTTTCTCTGCTGGTGCTAATGATAAATTAAAATGGTATTGAATATGCTAACCATAAAAAAATAAATCTTTTAAATAAACTTTTATATTAAATATATGTACAATTTAAATTATTTAGGTGTCTAAGGGTTAATCCTAAAGGACTAGATGAAGAAAGTAAAGATTATTTATCTTTATATTTACTCCTAGTCTCTTGTAACAAAAGTGAAGTTAGAGCAAAATTCAAATTTTCCATTTTGAATGCAAAGAGAGAAGAAACTAAAGCAATGGGTATTTATTTTTATTGTTATTAAGTAAAGTTAAAATGATGTATTCAATAACCTAATTACTTTGTTGTTAACTAATGTATTTTCTCAGTAATTAAAATTAAGTGTTAGTTAAAAATGGATGTGGTAGCATATTGATAAAAAATATTATAATATAATAAAAATTGATATTAATAAAAAAACTTGTCTGTAGTGTTAAACAATAGGAGTTAAATTTAAAATGTGAAAATGAAATAATTAAAAATGGTTAATTGCTAAAATTATGTTAATGTACAAATAATTGGGGATTAATGTTATTTTTTTTAATAAGATGTTAACTTTTAGATCAACTAAAAGATGTAGTCCTATATTGTACTTACAGTTGGCTAAAAATAAGCATTTGGCCAAAAATATAGCACTTTTTTCCTCTAAGATAGAGTAATATAGTATTTTTGATTGGTTCCATTCTGATTGAAAAACCTCTTCTAATGTAAGCTTAGCAAACTTTCCACCATTTATGCCTTTTAACGTTTCTTTGATGCTCTGCAAATTTCTCTGACAATGTCTCTTACTGATGGCATCTACATAAATTATTGTTATTAAATTTTTTGAAAGACACAAGATAGATCTCACATTTCTTCTTTATTTGCAAAATTTTTCTATCATTTACACAATCTTTGCACTGAAGACTGAGCTTTAATTGGTAAATATAGAATAAACCCTGTAAGTTTAACAATTTGTAAGTGAAAGTACCCATGTAAAGAAGTGAAATATATGAAAACTTGAAAGTTAAAACACAGCTAAGTTTTGTCTGTGGGGTATATTGTTTTTTATTTTATAAAATAACTATCATAAGCCTTTTTATAATGCTTAACTCCTTATTCAGGAGGAACAAAGAGATGCTTTATGAATAGGAGACAATAGCATCAGTATTTTCACTAGTGTCTTTTAATGAGCAAACTGTTTAGGTATATTCACTGACTAATTAATTTGGTGAACTGACATGACAAAATAATGAATATGAATAGAAATACACAAATTATAAACCGTTCTCATTCATGGAAGAGAAATCCAAAAACATAAAAGATTTGTTTTATAGCATGGAAGTCCCAAAATAAATTAAGTGCGTTTTAAATTTTCTGTTGTGGGCAGCATTTTTGTAGTATAATATAGGGGTGGCCAACTTTTGTGTTCATAAGATCTACTTTTTATCTTAAAAATGTGTCATGATCGACTTGTTGTCTTAGGCATAGTCTAAGTGGCGAGGGGTAGTGTGAAATACATACTATGTTTAGATAGTCGCAATTTAATTTAAAACATGAAGAAAAGGTACATTGTAAACAGAAGAAAAATTGAAACGCAACGTTGTCACTTTCGAGAACCACCACGTCATCCTTCTTCTTTCTACTGTGTCCCGACCACTCTCTCTGTCCCTCTTCCCGCCTTTCTTTTTTTCGGTTTTACGATCCTTTGTCTACATTTGTTATTCCTCTTTTACAACTGTACGCAAATGAATAGCACATGGACCAACAAAACTGCATCTGAGGGAGGACGCAGTGGTCCAATATCACTACAGTTGCGTTTGCACGTTATGTTCAGTTACAAGTGTAACACATTAATTCAAAAATAGCTATCAGCCAAAATTGGCTTATGTGATCGACCGGTCAATCGCGATTGACTTGTTGGCCACCTCTGTAATATAGGATAATATAAATAACGTGCTTCTAAAAATTCTGAAAACTTTATTATTATTATGTTGGGTTTAGTGGGTTATACTCGGTTCACTCCGGTGGCTGTGTATTATGCTGGACCAGTCAAGGCATAGCAACCAATTATTATTATTATGATGCTTTTTTCATTTGAATTTTATGCCAAAATTTTTCTAACAGACCATTTTGTATGCCTCGTCTTTCAGTAATGACATATTTTCTACTTTGCGGTTTGGTATAAAGAAGCATTAATATTGAAAATTCAAAAATAACACATTTTTGGACATGACCTCAAAATTTGTGAAAAATTTGGTCCAGCATTGGGCAGTAATTAATCATTCACTAATACTGATAATGATCAGTTTTCATCCCATTAGCTGAATGGGGATGATTCACCATGCTTATCCTGTCTTTGCTATTTATCCTATATTTTTTTGAAAAGTTAACTGTAATATAATTTCAATTTATACTGAGTTTCTACTTTTGCACTTTATGGAATGTTTTAACAGATTATATTTATCAACAGACCTTCGTACTAATTTCATATATATGTTTTAATATGTTTAGCAGGTAACTCACTGTTTTATAGTTTTAATGGCATTAAAAACAGGTAAAATAGGTTCTTATCATTTTTTATATAATTTCAGTTAAAATCTGTAAATCAAATATAATAAGTGAATTGAATATGTATCCTGAGATATAAAGTTAACTATATTATCATTATTAAGCATATTAAATTTAAAAATTATTTTTATCATCAAAAAATAAATCTTTCAACAAATAACATTATCAAAACATTATTTCTCTTATTAAGAACATTAATTTTGCAAGATCTGATTACAAATTATAAATCATCTGTACAGAATGATAGCATGGCCTATTTTAGCATTCAAATCAATGCACAAAATTAGAATTTATATTTAAAAAAAAAACGAATTTACTGTAAGAATCAAAACAATTAAATTTCAAAGGTATATTTATTGTTATAGTGAAATTCCGTTAACCCAGCGTTATCAGGACCAACTTAGTGCCGGATTATCAACTTGGCCACCTTATTTAATCTCCTGGACACAATTTTACATAATTTTGCATGTAAAACTGTACAAATTCACATTTTATGATTGTTTAACATGGCATTTCAATTTTTCCAAACTGTTCCTACAATTGATTGCCTTGAAACAAGAGCACACTATTCTTACTTTGTGCTTTGTATACTTTTATTGCATATACCGTGTTTCCCCGAAAATAAGACAGTGTCTTATATTAATTTTTGCTCTAAAAAATGCACTAGGTCTTATTTTCAGGGGGATGTCTTATATTTCCATGAAGACGAATTCACATTTATTGTTGAACAATACGCTAAACAGGTTCGAGAGAACACCTTGCGACACATTCAACTTAACCTTTTTATAGTGTCCACATCGAGCTCGATGACCAATTAGTGCTTACTGAACCGTAGCACTATGCAAATGTGATGTGGCGTGATTCCCAGCCGACCAATTAGCGATCACCAGCGATAACATTATGCAAATCTGTGATTCCCAAGCCATAGTCTTATGCAAATCATGCCGTGTGGCGTAATTGTCTGCTGACCAATCAGTGGCTGTACTTTCAACCATCTGTCGATGACCGTTACGACTAAAAAAAAACTTCGCTAGGTCTTACTTTCAGGGGGAGGTCTTATATTTCGCAATTCAGCAAAATCTGTGCTGGGTCTTATTTTCTGCGGATGTCTTATTTTCGGGGAAACACGGTAAATATGGACAAACTCTGTAATTGACAAAGTACATGAACAGTAATGTACTATAGCTGTTTTCATGATAATTATTGATTCCAAATTAGTAAATATTTTTGCTTTTCATATCAAATCCATGTATAAATCAAATCTTTGGAAAAGTCTAGAAGAATCATGTATGGGCTAACTGGTTTTACCTAGCATATCTTCATGTTGTCTTGGTTTTCCTCTGTTTCCACAATATTTATATTGGAAGTTTTTGATGATGATGGTAAAGAATAATGCACCCATAATCCCAATGACAAAATTGACATGCTGGCTTATTGAGTTTGTCAGAATACCAGATGACAGGTTAATGGGATTTTTACTGTACTTGTGTATTTTAAAACTTATGTGTTTTAATCAGAGTTCAGTTATTATAATCATCTTTAGCTAAATAGGCATTTTGAAGCTCTTTTCATATTGCAAGTTTCAATATTTGGTTGATAAAACTTGTTATAGCCCTTGAATAATACATATCATCTTTTAATCCTGCATCACAATGTCATCTTGAAAGCATTTTTAAAATGCGTTTAAGATGTCATTATGATGCAGGTTTAAAAGCATGAAAACAAGAGTTACAGGCATTACTTATTTCATGGTATTTGTATTGTTTTGCTAATTTGTTACTTAACAAAACTTAATAAAGCTGATTTAAAAATTTTTCCTTCCATAAAACACATCTTAAAATTTGATTTTCAATTCACAGTGCATCTTAGAATTGATGGCATCTCCAAATTGAAGAAATGTTAAAAAGAGTTTAAATTAAATGCTTGTTACCAGCAAAGCTTGTATGAACTAATGTGACTGTTGAACAGTACAGCCAAAAATAGCTATTAATGATGATAGTACATTACATGGTCTGCTGGTGATGACTGCTAATTGTTGTTTTGGACTATAAATATAAAATGCATCTCTATTTTAGATATTAAAAGTGGGTAAAAAGTGTCTTAGAATTCAGGAAATATGGTATATGTATTTTCAAACATAATATATGATTTAAGCCTGAACATTATTATTATTTTCTTCTTAATTCATGTTTTCTTAATTTTTACAATTTAGAAAGCCAACGTGCTTATAGGTTTGTTCAAGGAAAAGATTGGGGATTTAAGAAGTTTATAAGGAGGGACTTTTTACTAGATGAGGCTAATGGTCTTTTACCTGATGATAAATTAACATTATATTGTGAAGTAAGTTTTGATAATGTCTAAAATTATCTTTTTTTTTTCTTGACTATTATAGATTTTAATTGTTAAAAAATAAATTTTTTTTTTATTTTAGGTAAGTGTAGTGGCTGATTCAGTAAATGTATTTGGTCAAAACAATTCTATACAGTTTAAAGTACCAGAATGTCACCTTTCAGAGAATTTAGGAAACCTATTTGAAAGTCAGAAATTTAGTGATGTTATATTAAGTGTGAATGGGAGAGAATTTTATGCTCATAAAGCAATTTTAGCAGGTAATTTCCCATTTAATATTAGAATAAATTTTAAAACAAGTACTTTGTTTTTTAATTATCTGTATTTTAATTTAGCACGTTCATTAGTGTTTTCTGCCATGTTTGAACATGAAATGGAAGAAAAGAAACAGGTAAAAATTAAAATCTTCAGTTCAGTAGTTATATTATTTTTAACAAAATGGATACTACGTAGAAGTTTTAATATTGTGTTGTAAATTCCATATTTGGTTCTTATTACTGTAATGTCTTATTCTTTTTTCCACTGAACACTTGCTTCTAACAATTTACTTTTTCATGAAATGATACAAAATGAAGTATGAACAGGATTCCAAAGTGGAAAATGAACAGGATTCTAAACTGGAAAATATCAGGAAATTTAGTAATTATATTTATAAAGAACTTTAAATGAAATATTTTAACCAAATGATATTTTATTTCACATTTTATTATGTTAATGATCACTAAAACATGTCATGTTTTTACTTTAAAATATGAGGTGTGATCAAAAAATTTTAAGATGGGCACATATAAAGAGAGAAAAATACTTTATTTAACTTTGACAGTCATTACCTTCAAAATAGTCCCTTGTGCATTGATGCACCGATTTCAGCGTTTCTGCCAGGCTTGGAATGCTCCCTGGAAGTCTGCAGTTTGTGTTGGATGTCTTTTACCATGTCAACTGGTAGAACAGTGACCTTTCAACTTGAATTTCATCTTTTGGAACAAGAAGTCACAGGTCATCACATGCTTGCTGATGGAGATCCTTACAGACTTGGACACTGTATGCATTCTACTAGGAGCACAGGAGCCTAGGCACAAACTTTGCTGCAAAGCAATATATGTCAATTCAGACATCAAGGTCACCTGCACATTCCATGTGACACATTGACTTTGGCAACAGTATCCTTGATGGTTATATTATCCTCATTACCAAGATCCTCATACCCAAGATATCAAATGTTCTCAACAGTTTTGGATTGACCTGCCCTTGTCCTCCAGTGACATTCTTCCCCTTTTGAAGTGCACATGCCACTCAAAACACCTTGCCTAGTTCATTGCTTCATCACTGTAGGCTTCACAAAGCATTTCAAGGGTCTCTGTTGCCTATTTCCCTGATTTCACATAGAATGTGATGATAGCTCTCTGCTTCAGTTTCAGGTCCATAATGAGATCACAATCTCATTATGGACCTGAAACTGAACAACTATTGACACTAGGACAACATTGAAAAATTCTGTGACAATCTCTAACCAAAGCAGCAAGTTGTCACTTTGCATATTGACTCATGAATACCATGTGCCTCTCTTGCCGCATGCTCATGACTGTGTAGCACCCCCTTGTGTCGCTACAGGCTCACTCTTGGAAATTTTTGATCGTACTTCATAATGTTATTTACTATAATTGTAGTGTATTTAAAATGTATTTTATTTATATATTGTACTGTTTTTTTAAATTTGGTTTTATTGAAATTTTGTAAAAATTATTCTCCTTACAAAAAAGATGTAATTAGAAATTAATCTGTATAGTCTGTGCTAGCAGCATAAAAAAAAAGTATCGTATCATGATTATATCATGATATACTTTTTTTATTTTTGTGTTTATAGTATTACAATAAAACCTTACTAACCTGATGCTGTCTGTGGGCCCTAGGCACAATTTATAGTGTTTCATATACTGTATTTACTCGCATACAAGATGAGGGTTGCATTCATTTTTGCACTGCTTCAAAAACCTAGGTTGTCCTATATGCACAAGCAAAGGATTCGTTGTGTTGTGGCCAACCTGGCAACACTTTAATGCGTCCCCACAGTCTTTGCCTCCCTCTCAAGTTCATTCTTACTAAGTGTGTTATACTGGCACCAGTCCTTGTACCCCAGTTCCAAATAAAATTATTTTGTTTTTTTAAGATCTGTGATTATTTGGTCTAAAACCCAAAACATTTTTGCAATAATTTCTGTTAACCATGTATAGTTCATGTTGCCATTATAGATCTATAGTCTATACATTGTAAGTTGACATCTACTGTAAACAAATTAAGACACACACCCCATTTGTTTATTGGTTTAATCCTACATCCATCAATTAAAACCGTGTTGCATCTCATTTGTCCACAGAAAATAGTTTTGTTATTTATAAAATCATTAATGAAATACAGGTCACTTAACAATGATTATAAATGTAGTTATTTCATATTAGTTAAATTTATTATTATTAATGAATATTAGCACATTCTGAATCATTAAAAATAAACTTTTTCCAGTCATGCACATGATAATGTTTTGGTTTTGTTTTCCATTCATCACATATTAGGTGAAACATGGTTGTTTGCCTCAATACATGCATTTGATAATATAGTAGAACCCATCTAATCTGTCGTCTTTGGGACTGGGGGTATGGTCAGAACGCAAAAAAGGTTGGATTATCAGAAAAAAGTAAAATAAACAATCTTTCCTTTTGTCCAGTCTTTGTAGCACTGCTAATTTTTCATTTAATGAAAGAGTAACATGCTTACGTTTCACTCCTGACATGTTGAAAAACACACAAAACTGTATACGTACACACAATGTAAAACATATACTGTAACAAACACAGAACAACGCGATGGGTGGTGAGTTATTGATGAATCGGGACAAGTTTCTCGACTCCGACCACGGTCAGATTAATCGGAGTGACGGACTAGCTGAGGGCGGACTAGAGGGGTTCTACTGTATTTTATTTGTGATTAAACAAAATAAAATTAGAATTGTATTAATAAATTTAATTTTCTTTATTTTGATCTCTAAAGTCACACCTTGTCCTATTTACGAGATCATCTTATACGTGAGTAAATATGTAATATAGTTTTATTAAGTCAAAATTGTTGATACAGTAAGACCCTGCTTAACTCTGCCTCGATTAACGCTGATTCGATATAACGCGATCTGCTCGAAGCCTTAAGAAAAAAATTTACTCAAAATTTATGCTGATTCAAATTATTGCAGCATTTCATTGATTTGTATATAATATGATTATTTATGAACACGAACCAATCAGCAAAGGTGGTAATTTGTCATAGTGCTATATTTTCCTTAAATCTGTTTGTTTTGTGCAATTTTGGAAAAAATATAACATCATGGATGCCATAGACAATATCAACTTCACTTGGCAAGAATTAACTGATAAATGCACGAATGGAGTTTGGAAGAAGTTATGGCTGAAGGTATGCAAGAATTCTCAATGAGAAGAGCCTGTCACTGATTAGGTTGACCAAATTATCAACCTAATTGATATACAGCAAGACTAGGAGATCAGTGGCATAGCATAGTGGGTGCAGCAGGGGTGGCAAAATTTCACAATAAATAATAATAATATCTTGTAAAAATTTGAACCATTTAATTTCATATTTTCGTTGCACCTACGATTCGGACNCAACCTAATTGATATACAGCAAGACTAGGAGATCAGTGGCATAGCATAGTGGGTGCAGCAGGGGTGGCAAAATTTCACAATAAATAATAATAATATCTTGTAAAAATTTGAACCATTTAATTTCATATTTTCGTTGCACCTACGATTCGGACCGGTTGAAAATGAACATGGGAAATAGTGTTACCATCCGGACAGTCCGGGAATCGACTCACCATCCGGATGAACTATTAATTTTACCCGGCGACACTGTGCGCAACCTTACGTTACTCCTAACCAAGTTTCCCTAGTTGCTAACTGTAACTGATTTAGAACCGGCATGCACTGCACATTATTCTTTGCATTGCAAAATGACATACGCATGCGTCAAGAACTTCTGTTCGAACAAACCTCTCCTGCTTTCGAGCAATTTTAAAAAGGTGGCAATACTAGCACGGAATTTTTCATTACTTATTCTGTGACAAAACTGAATTTTAGTCTTTTAAATTGAGATACCTAAATAAGGGGATGGCAAAATTTTTCTTTGCCCCGGGCAGCTGACACCCACGCTACGCCACTGTAGGAGATGTAGATGAGCAGGATATTGAGGAGTTACTGCAGGTTTCTAGTGAGAGCCTTATCAATGACAACCTTCAAGAACTGGCAGAAGAAGGAATTCGTGTAGAACTGGAAAACAGAGAACCTGAAAATGAAGAACCCAAAGAATTTCGCTACAGATTTCATTAGTTAAAGTTTGATAATGATAACTGAAATCGTTGATCAAATTGTAGCGACTGATCCAGATTTTGAAAGGAGTGCAAAAGCAAAATGAGGCATTTTGGATGCATTCTTCTGCTACTGATATTTGCTTAAGGAAAGAAAAAAAAAGACAAATGAAACTGCATGACTTTATTGCAAAAAACAAGAATTTCAGAAAAGCCAGGACCTTCATCACAAAAAATGAACTTTGGATTTCTGTGTGCACATGCTTGTGTTATTTAACATATATTATTATACAAATTAATATAAAAATAACTTAAAATTATAGTAAAATTTGTTTATTTTTGGTCACATATTTCCCTTTCCCTATTTACTCTATATTAAAATGATCTTATTTAATGCTGTTTCGCTTAGTGCTTTGTCATCTAGGAACGCATCCCCTGCATTAAGTGGGGTCTTACTGTACTTTTAACTCAAAACTTGTTTTCCCACGTACTTTCCATACTTCAATAGATTCATGATCTTCATTTTATCGTACATTCTGTGTGAATACAGATTATCAAGATTAAAAAAACACTACAGCATTTCTATGCAAACAAAACTATCCATTACAACCTCATGTTGACATTCCTTTACTGATACAGTATGTTACTGACATTTTGATTTGGACATGGGTGTCTTCCCATAAACTATATACAATTCTGAGAATAAATTCTTGAGAAATGGCTTGATACAGGAAACTAATGGCAACAGAAAAATTTGAGAATATCAGGTATGAACTCATTAGCTCAAAGTTGGGATTTTTTTTTTACCCTGTAAACTTTGACTTAAGTTTTTACTGTATAAGAAAATACAGTAAAGACTTGTTAAGTCAAAGTTTCTTTAATATATATTATCTGTAATTTTTTGTGTTTACAATATGATCTTATATGGTAATTATTCTTGTCTCCCCAAAGAGGAACCTATAAGCTAGCTAGTAATGTAAGCACTGTTGTTGACATGATCCTAAGAACACAAGGACAGTGTACTCAAAGAGCTGCACCTAGGCTCATATCTGTTTTTTGGTGTCCATTTATGTTAATCTTTGTCCAAATTAATCATATTTTGGTTTAATGGCATTTTGTTCACATTTGTTAAAGTTTTAATGCTTTATATTATTGTGATATTTCTTACTTTTGTAGTAAGAAATATCACAATAATAAGCTTTTTCAGTTTAGTTGTTTTTGTAGTGGAAGTTAATTCTGTCAGGAAAGGCTATTTTTGAAGTAATGAACTTCCCTTTTTATAACAGTTGCTTTCTCTTACAGATTTTGAGATGAGTTATTTTTGTTTAAGGTCCTTAGTTCCTTAGTTAGTTCTGTGTGTGTCCAGTGTTTAAAAGAATATATTACATTAATATGTTTGTTGCTGTATTTATGGTTTACTTGCAGATATGCTGTTAGTTAAGAGTTTAAAATTATCATCATTTGTTAATCTGTGATTTATTTCTGTATATTTTATAATTTAGACATGTTAAAGTCTCAAATATTTGTAGACTTTGCACTTATTCATAGACTTAATGATGTATCTCTTTTTTTATAAAAAGGAATTCTCCTTTAGAACTTTTTTTTTATTTAAACATCTTTATATTTTTTTAGTCCAGATTCCTTTTGCTTGTCTTTAGGGTTTGTCTAATATTTTAAAATGATTTTGCACAATAAATGAGACTTAGATTAAATGATACAAAAAGTATATCTTTGACAATGTCAGATTAGATTTTATTCATTTGTTGTGGATTAATAAGTGATGTATAACTGGTTTTTATGTAGCCCATATTATTTATACAGAGATGCCAACCACTAAACTTTTCAATAGTGTCTACAGAAGTTGTGTAAATTAGACTTATGGACAGTTTTCTAAAAAACTACAGAATGATCTTTTATACTCTCAAAGAAGTGTTCAAATACAATAACATGTAAGTTTTAGTTAGTGCTTTGTCCACAGAATCACCAATATACCAAATCACAAATCAATCAGCGCGCACACACCAAAAACATTGAATGTACAGACTGTGAGTGCTTCCAGTTTGCAAGCAGCTAATTAAAGGTCTGTGTAAAAATTTTTCTTGTACATGATTGAGTTGCATGGTTGTGCTAAAACTTGTCAAAAAATGTGTTCTCTTGTCATCACAATTGAGCACACTGGTAAAGCCCAAATGTATTGTGTGCATGACATAGACAAAATGGCAGATTGTCAGTTACATAAGTTTTATTTTATTAAATGAGAAATATTAATTTAAATTTATTTAAAAAATTATTATAAAATAATTTATTAATATTAAAAATTTTAAGAACTTTATGAT